ATTATGATGTTTGGAGTTTCTCCTGATGCTTAGAAGAAACAACTCAGTCTAACTTATTTAGCAGAAAGAAAAAGGAAGTTACAAGTTTACTTTATCAAGATAGAAGGGAAACGTTAAGGCTACATCTACACTGCAGGTTTTTTGTGCAAAAACAGCTATTCTTGCGCAAAAATTTGCTGTGTGTGTACACTACACGTGCATTCTTGTGCAAGTAAATTTACAGTAAAGCATTGGAAAACAGGGCTTCTTACAGAAGAGTTATTCCCCTCCCCATGAGGAATAAGCCCTCTTGCGCAAGAGCTCTTCCACAAGAAGGCAGTGTCGACAGGCAACATGAATTTCTTGCGCAAGAAACCCCTATGGCTAAAATGGCCATCAGAGCTTTCTTGCGCAAGAGAGCATCCACACTGCCATGGATGCTTGCACAAAAGCACATGGCAGTGTGGACGCGCTCTTGTGGAAGACCTTTTGCACAAGAACTCTTGCGCAAAACAGTCCTTGCGCAAGAAGCCTGCAGTATAGATGTAGCCTAAACGTGTCAAAACATACATATATTAGAGCATGATCAGCATAAGAATTAAATTAAAGATCATCTTTAGGTGAATAATAGGCTTAAGTGGTACTAAAATATATGTAACTTACATGAGAATACTATATACATTTTATATGTAGGACTTCCATGAGATCACATATTGATTCACGAACTAATATGAAATTGGCACTTTTCATACTACATCTTATAATACACCAGGGTGGGCAATAATTTTTGATGAGGGGGGCCCAATCTAAAAATTCGGTAAGTGGTTATAGGCCATATTTTCTATGATATTAATGGAAGAAATGTGGGGTCTGGAATGGAGATTGGGTGCAGAAGAGCCTGGAGTAGGGAACTGGGGCATCGGAGAGAGTACTAGGTCTGGGAGGGAACTGTGAACAGGAAAAAGGGTAGAGAGGGGTGTGCACTGTGACCTGAGTAGGAGGCGGTTGTGACCCTGGGGAAGGGGCAGAGGGTTTGGGCTGTGATCTGGGGAAAGAAATTGGGGTGCAGGAAGGAGTGGGGTGCCAGGTGCAGGCTCTAGATGGGAGGTGCTTACCCGTAGGCAGCTCCTGGCCAGCAGCCAAGCAGAACCCTGGCTGACAGCCCCACATGCCACTCAAAGAGTATCATGGCAGGCTGGATTGAAAGGTTTAGTGATCGAATCCAGCCTGTGGGCCATATTTTGCCCACCCCTGAAATACACACATCTAGCGTTTACTAAAAATACAATGATAAAGTAAATGAGCATTTGTTATACATATATCTTTTCCACATCAGGGTTAAAGGTAGTTAGAAGATGAGCAGAAAGGGCTCAGAAATGACCTTTTGGGTCTTCATGGAGGCTGAGTATTAGTATATACAGAAGACGCTAGCTACACAGCATTAAATAGAAGCAATGTCATGACAAAAAGGGTATATATACAGAAGACGCTAGCTACACAGCATTAAACAGAAGCAATGTCATGACAAAAAGGCTATCTATGACAAAAAGGCTTGTCTAGCTATGTAATCAGGCCAAATACATAGAGGATCCAGTGGAAAAGGCTATGCGTGATAATGAGTGAAGAAGATGGCAGGAAGCAAAAGGCTGTTGACTACATATAGGAGAGCCATTTGCATATTATGACCATACAGATGAAATAAAAATCTAGTATTGTTCTTTGACACCTTGATTATGTTGATTACTCCATAACTGATGGCAGACGAGTAAAATCAGAGCCAAGGCATGCTGAGAATTTAACTACTAGAGCAAAGGCATAATCAAAAATGAGAACATGGTGGTGAAATGCTAGCAACAAAAGACTCCCAGTGATAGAAACACAGGCCTTATTTTTTGCTGCTAGATGCCAAACATCTTGCTCATCCAAGCCAAGGAGCCCTGCAAACACACTGAAGAGCTTCATTTGTCAGATGTCATTCATTCTCTACTTGCAGAGACTACTTCATCCATCAAATTACAGCAGCACAATTGTTCTAAACTAGTTTGAACAATTTAATAGGTTGTCCAAATTGTTAAATAATATTTGGCATACAGATTCAGTTACAATAAATATGATGTCTATCTGAATAATAATGGTTTTGGCCTTGGATTTAGCACAACAGGAACTGATGCATACAAAACAAAAAATTAGAATGTGTTCCTCACTCCCCCGAGAAAATTATTGTCTTTCTCTAGCTACTCCTTTGAAAAATATTTTGTTCTTTTAAAACATGTGTGTAAAATGGGATGTTGTTATAGTCTGGAGATTTTTTTTTTAAATGAGCGGCGTTATATGGAAAAGTAAGTAAACACACCACACAAGCTGCTAGAAAATTAATGGGCAAGCATCACTCAAAACAAAACAAAAAATTACAATGTTATTTAATAGACAATCCAAAATCTTAAATACTGAAATGGAAATAAAAGATATGAAGATTAAAAGGGTAAGATTAAAATCTGGTGCACTGAAAGTCAATAGAAGAGGATCTTTCTTTTTGCATGTGGATTGTTAATAGCGGTGATAGTAGACAAGTGTAGGGCAGTGGTTTCAAACTTTTTTTTTCACAACCCACTTGAAGAAAATTGTTAATGTTCTTGACCCAGCACAATTATATCTTTTGACTAGAGTGCAGTCTCCAGGGTAGGACTGCAGGATTGAGAGTGAGGGGGGTGAAGGCTTTGCCTAGGGCTGTGAGCTCTGGAGTGGGGCCAGAAAGAGGAGTTTGGGGTGTAGGCTGGGGTACAGGGGCTCAGTACGTAGGCAGAGATTCTGGACCTGGGCATGTTGGTGAGGTACAAGGGGTGCAGGTATGGGATGGGGCTGAGAATGAGGTATTTAAGGCACAGGAGGGATTTCTGGGTTTGGAGGGGCTCAGGGCTGGGACAGGGGATGTTGGAGCACAGGCTTACCTCTGGAGGTTCCTGGTCAGTGATGCAGTGGGATGGTAAGACAGGCTTCCTGCCTGTCGTGGCACAGTGGACCGCACTGCATCCCAGAAGTAGTCAGCAATAGGTCCAGCTCCACAGGCTGTCCCCACCCCAAGTTCTGGCTCCACACACCCATTGGCTGGTTCCTGGTTTGTCGCCAGGCACTGCTGAGCAAAAATGTATGGAGCTCATTTTGGGCTTGTTTTGAAATGGAATTAGCTTCATTTTTTGGCTTATTTTGTATCTTGTGAAAGTTGGCTACTCATCTCCTAGAAGCTGGACCTGCTGCTGACCACTCCCAGGGCACAGCGCAGTCCATGGTGCCAGGACCGTGAGGAAGCTGGCCTTAGCACCTCCGCTGATCACCTAGTCACCATACAGCAAGGTGACCCAGTGCCTGACTTTCCACGACCCAATACAGAGTCACTTTGAAAATCCATGGTGTAGGGCACACTTCTCTTAAAGCAGATAATCGTTTCATGCCAGCTTTTACTGGGGAGGAAGTAAAGGGGGTTAAAATTATTTCGAAGAATAATATAAGCTTGTGTTCTTTTAAGTGATGGGAAGTGTAAAATAATTAATTGAGTATCACCTATGAGAATAGTGATAATTCCAGAGCAAACTCTATTTATGTGCACAAAAACTCTCACAACTAATAGACTAATTATTGTACCAAAATCTTTTTTTCCCCAGTGTTTTAGAAAAAAAGATTGTTCCCCTCACTTAAAGCAACAAAAGAGAAAAATTGAATTTCAATCTTAAAAATGAAGAATAAACCTACTAAACTAAACATTACTAGGCATAGATTTTAAAGAAAGAGTACCTCAATAGAATAATACATTACCTATCTTAAAATAATCTCATATGAGCTATGAAAAAAAGCACATTCTTATATCTCTGCATGACATTTTACACAGTAGGGAAATTCATTGGTTAAGTTTGATTACAAAATTCTCCTCTTTCCCCCTGACTGTTCTAGACCTATCACACACACATTTGCTTTCAAGCTTCTACAAAATACAATAATAATTGATTTTGGGCTGTATTGCTGACTGACTAAAGAATTTTGAGATCTCAAGCTAAACTGATACAAATAGTTTCATTAACAATGAGGACTTTATAGCTCTTCATATAATACTAATAGTTAAGTTTTTCACACAACTAAGTCTGAAAACAAAAGTGTCTCATTTACTTAGCTACATATTGTTACTATAATGTCAGAAGTTACTACAAAAAACTTTTCCTTAGCATTGATATTTTATACAGAGATGGTACAAAGCTTTGATAGTAATAGTAATTGGTATTTTTAATACGTATAAATAATTTTTAAAAACTAAAATTTAAATTTTTTGGAAAATGAATTTTTTTATTTTAGAAGGTTTAAAAATAACTGCTCTAAAAACAAATAGGACACAAAATAAGGTTCAAATTGCATTTCAAAGTATTAACAGATCAATCTGAAAGCAAAGTGATTCACGACAACAGAAAAAGAATGCTTCTATTATGGGCAAATTAACTTAACAAGTGTAACAACATATCAAAGCCATCAATTCATCAAGACCCCATATTTAGCCCATTTTAGGCTCAGATATTTTAAACATGCAGAGCAACGCCCTATGAGAGATTACAAACAATAATAAAAAAACAATAATTCAAAATTCCATCTTTGATACAGGTTCTGGATCTCTGTCAGCTGCTTTTAGAAGCATACAGTATATAGTAACACATTCAAGACTTCTACTGATCAGTTAGCAGGAATACAAAACAATGATAACCTATAATAACTTTATCACTTGACTTAAAAACAAATTCCCTTTTAAGCAATAAAATTCCCTTTTAAGCAATAAAATCATCTTATGCTTCTAATATGAACATGCCGTGGGCCAATTAGAGTCTCATTCAGTTAAAATCCTTACCTGTATATATTCATAGAGTTCTTTGTTGTGTCTGACAATAAATTGTAAGGGCAGTCATATTTGAAAATAAAACCATTAGACTATGTTCATGGAATGCTACAACAGAGCCACTGAATGAACAACAAGGAAAGCACAATACCTTTAGCAAGTCTCCTCAGAATTTGACAGCGGCATTTAAAAGAGACAGCTATCATTCTTGCTTACTGTCTTCAGTAGTAAAGTATACTCTAGGCTCTGCTCTGGTGGATGCAGCAGAAGCATATGAATTCCTTGCTCACATACCAGAAGAAAGGTAGTCCCAGTGGGGAGTGACAAAGCTTAATTCCTCTTGGCTGATGCAGAGATCAGCTTCATGACATCCAGCAAAGCTGTGTCATTCACTACTACTCCTATAGGCACCACTTGCAGTATGAGATCAATGGCTTAAAAAGCAATGTTTCTTTAGCAGCTACAAAGCATCAAATAGTATAAAATGCTAACGATACTACACGGAGCCATTCTACATTCTCTCACATTCCCCTGCTGTGCACAGAGCACTGGTTTCTGTTCTAGGCAAGGGGCCATACATCTCAGCAAATTTAGAGATTTTTTTCCCCCCTCTCTTACGTATCTTTCATTTCCTTTGTGACTTGCACTGAACAATAAGACAAAAGACTAGAGATGCTAGTTGTGAGCTGGGATATTTTAAAACAAAAATATATATATATTTTAAAGGATTTAGATTTTACTTTATAAGAAGGTAGTGAAAAAACTGACTAGCTGATTTTATCATCCAGAAAGCATTTTGATAATTTTAAAACAATTATATTAAGGTGGTGGAAACAAGGGATTAGAGGGAACGAGGGCTGAGAGATATTTGTTATGTGGGATGGATCATGAAGCATTTGAACCCAAAATAAATACAATTATTCTACATAGAAAATATGCAACAAATCAGGTTCACTCACCAACTATAAAGTCCACCTACTGAAACGTAGGGGAAAAAAAGGAAAGAAACTGACATCCACTCTTAGGGTGTTTATGAACCAACTTCATAACTAATCCATCCAAACTTTAATTTTAAATATGGCAAAATATTGCCCCATTACTTCAGATGTTTTACAATCTCTCGTTGCCATTCACACTGATATTTAACATTTCATTCATAGAATAACAAAGTAGGACATGATGCTTAAATGACAGCTCCACCCTATCCTTACAGAGAAACCATTTTTTTTCTAATGGATCAACCTCATAGACTCTGTTACCTTAGAGTAAAAAATTAAACAAAGCTGCATAAAACGTCAAACCAGATTTCTGTCCACAAGACAAATATTTTGTTTGGCAATGTCAATATTGTTAATTTAAATAATTAGATAATTATTAATCTATCACCCCATCTCCTCCTTATTGGGAATACATTTAACAGAGCTTGATATACTCCATGTCCAATTCATTTCCTTCCATTTCAAAATTAGTGAGGGTATATTCTGACATCTTTAAACCAAAGCTGCAGTTAATATGATTATTTAGTGCTAAAATGCTCATGTGCTGCATTGGGGCAGGATTATATTTCTTGGGGGAGTGGGAGTTGCAGGGAAGAATGGGACAATGTTTTTTTTCCATAAATCATACATTTTGTAAATGTTAATAAAGTGAAGGAAGCAACCATGGGAAAGGCCATCCAAAGAAACTCTAAAGGGGAAACATTGTTCTTTAAGTTAGTGGTTCTCTACTTGTGGTCTGTTGACTCCTGGGGAAATGCAGACTACATTTAAGAGTTCCGCGAAAGACTGAAAACTAACTGAATAGAATTCAGCTCTACCACAAATAATATATTTATAATGGGGTCCGAGCTGTCATTCAAAATTTTCTAGAGATCCACAAATGAAAAAAGATCAAGACACGTTTTTCTAAGTACCTCATTAGACACAACAGTTTCTTTCTCCATTTTAAATCAGAATTTCTACTCTACATTTTTTCTTATTTTTGCCTTAGTAGTGGCAACCTCCTTGGTTGTAGCATCAGCCATATTGTGAAAAGACTGGCCAGGCACAGTTTATCAGCACATTAAAATATCTCAGACAATAGATTATTCATTTTCATTGGAAGCCAATCAGAGGGTCCCTGGTCATCTCTTCGCCAGCCCTGTTTTCACCTCCCATAGTCCAAAGTTTCAAATAATGGAACAGTTCTAGGCAGTACACTATCTTCTGGCAGTGGACCAATATCAAGTGTTCATATTGATTTTTTTTTAGATGTGTCAGAAATTTTTGATGCCATAAATCCTGGCAGGAATATGTATAGTTGTTTAAATGGCTCCAATCACTACTCAGAGAAAGCAGAAAAGGCTACTGGATAATTTTTCAACTGTCCCAAAAGCTCTACCCTTTCCCCTTTATTACTCATGGTTCCACCATTTTCTGTATTTTATTAATAATCAAAATTCTCGAATAGGATATTAATTGCCAGGATGATTCTTCTTTTCTTTTAGACTGAGGTTCAGGGAAGTATAAAAGACTTTCATTTGTGTTTAAGCGCTTTTCCTGATAGGATGTTTTCCTGAACTGGTCCTTTAATGACAGATACCACATTTTTATTGTCACAGAAATGCTCCGATAGAAGCATTGGGAACATGCCCCTGTGAAAGGCCTGCCGAGACCCGCACTACGTCCGGTGAGGGGGGGATCACCGGGGAACGGTGCGACGAGCGGCGAACCCTCCGCCGCTTTGCAGGGAGGTGGGGAAAGCCCCACGCAGCTGCTGGCAACGAGCCAGGTGGGAAAAGCCAGCCGCCAGCCTGCAAGCGAGGGCGGAGGAGGGGGGCAAGGTGTTCACGAGGGGGAGTCAGTGGGGAACGGCACGGCGAGCGGCGAACCCTCTGCTGCTTTGCAGGGAGGCAGGGGAAGCCCCGTGCAGCCGCTGGCAATGAGCCGGCTGGGGAAATCGTGTTATTCTGGGGACGGTCATGTAATTCAAAAAACTTTCCCTAAAAAAAAATCGTGCTATTGCGAAAATGTGTTAAATAAGGAATTACTATATATCTATATCTATATCGATCTATATCTCTATATCCTCTCAAATGTCATCTTCTACCAACTCATCTCTAGAAAGAATGTTTCATAATATAACATCAGTTAAATTCCTCTGAAGTGACTTAAGACAGAAGATTACAATGAAATAATCTATGCTTGTTCTAAATGGAACAGGAGACTGTAATTTTTACAAAAAGTAAAATGTCTGTATGAAACCAGGATTGTACAAGAATCTTCTGTCTAAATGACTTTTGGATTGAAAATGAACTTTGTGGAAATTGAAATTTTATAATGGGGAAATGTTGATTTTGCCAAAAATGTTGGCAAACTAGTTTTATGTTGGGAAAATCTAAGTGAAATATTTAGTTTCTGGTCAGTTCAACATTAATCTGCATTCATCTGAGCTGTGACAATGTCTCATAGAATTAGTATCTTTGCCGCTCTGTGAGTATTTTTTTCTGTAGAGAGCAGGCTCCCTGTCCAGACAACATCTCTTATGGTATACTGTAGTCTCCTGTTTGGTAACTGGTGACGGGCATCATTGGAGGCATGTGATCAAACGATTATCATGAGAGAGATGTAGTCAAGCCAGAGAGCCTTGCATATAAAGGAGAATGGGGGCATGAAGCACTCAAACGACAACTCCCACCAGAGAGAACTTAAGTGATTTAAATGAAAGATACTTAAATAGCTGATTTTAATCTAGATTTAGATCAGCAAACATCAAACTTTGATTTAAATCATTCATTTTAATGTTGTTTTGTCTTTACACTTTTTAGTTATTTCCCTGAAGAAAAGTTTATATTCACTGGTTGTAACCCATTAAATCATGTTAGCTTGTAACTACATATAGCCGTTACAGTAAATTTGATTATTATTTTTTCTAACCAGGAGGTCAGACTACATCTATATATAGTTAATTGTATACCTAAACTTACATGAATTCATATGCTAAATGTTTTATATTTTAAATGTTAGAGCTAGATATAAATCACAAATAAAAATGTAATCTAGCAAATAAGAAAAAACATTCATCACTTTTTATTTTGATAGAAATGCTAAATTCAATTAAAATGCACAAAATAGCATTTATCATTACTATCCAACAAAACTACCTTGTGTGTGCTGGATACACAAGAAAAATGTTAATACAAACATTTTTTTGTATTAAAAACTAATTTATTAAACAAATGAAGTATTATCTGCCATTAGTGAACTGAATTGATTACTTCTGGTAACCACATCCTTCGAGATTTTAGAACTAATAGATCTCATCCTCTCATATCTAGTTTTTATTCATGGATTGGAAAAGAAAAACAAATCTTCCTGCTTTTCCAATTACCACTCAGTTTCTTAACTGACAGAACTACTTGCTGAACTGATATAGTTGAATAAACTGAAATGAAGAAAATACTCTCTCTCTATCTGCAGAAGAGATATTGCTATCAATAAGCTGTTTTAACACTTGAACAAACTTTGGTTCCAAATGCTTAGCCAGTGACTTCATCAGTTCAGTTGTCTGACTAAAAATTGGCAGCAAATATCTAACACTTGGCATTCTTTTGTAGGTTTAATGCAACTTATTAAAATATATTCAAATAATATTAATCATTAATATAAGTTGTCAATTTCAAATTTAATTTTAAATAGAGTTTATTTAAAAAAACCTGGATTTAATTTAAATTAAAGCTGTGATTAATTTAAAATGAAAAATGTGATTAAAAAAATAAGAATTTTGCCTTGAAAAACATCATGACATCTCAGGAGGACACGGATTATCATCAAACCAAGGAGAAATGGAAAGTTTTGATTTGGTTCAACACACCAAAATGAAATACTTTTATTCAGGAACATCAAGGGTTTTTTTTTGTTGTTGAAAACATCGAAACAAAAATATCAACATAATGGGATCAGCAAATTGGGAATTTTCCAATCTGTGTACACGCACGCGCGTACACACACACACACACACACACACACACAAATCTGATATTTTGACTTTTATGATGATTTGGGATTTGATTTCTATCCTGTCTTATCAATGATGATTTCCATCAGTGGCAATTTGTGCTCTGGAGTTTCAATCTTGGATTGTAATACGCACAGATGGGTTTCAGTCGTGTTTTGTGTAGTAGTTGTGGTCAGCCATTTCCAGAATAGATCATAAATACACAGCTCATTATTACAAACACTTAATAGAAGGGGGCAAAGCATTTTCTTAAAACCATCATGCACTTCCAGGATAGAAACATACTTCTTACAGAACAATTTTTCCCCCACTTTCTTAATCTTAACTCCATTTTAAATTCAGACACCCAGAGTTCACAGGTGATTAAACAAACCTTGGTTTCAGTTTCATGCATCTTGATTCATTCAGACACACATTGGTACTTTGAACAACAGTCTATTTTGTGTGCCATTGCATATGTAATTAACTAAAAAGAGACTGTAGGTGCTTGCAAAGTAATAGCATTTATTACCACTTACATTTAAAATAGAACAACAGGAGAACAAACAGGAGGAGCAATAGTCCCTGCTGG